CCTCTGTCCCCCTTGCCCTTCTGAACCTCCAGGTTGTCAAGAAGTAAAAGTGGACGCTGCTCTTGCAGAGATGGTTCAGCTGCAGCCCAACACATGGCCGTCGTCCTGGGTGGCAATCGACTGGAAAGTGAAGCTGGGTTCACAGACCTACTGGATCCTCAGACACGATGAGAACGGCACCTCGGCCAGTTCGTTTCTGCCCTTTGCTGACAGAGTCTCTTTCCACCCTGGGAATCTCTCGCTGCAGATTAACTCGGTCACGGAGAAAGAAAGTGGCCTCTACACCATGGACCTGAAGCTGGGGGATGGCTCCGGAATAACCAAAAATTTTCAGCTGTTTGTGCTTGGTGAGTTTGGGGGTGCCACTTCCCCCCCCTGCTCACCCCTGGGGCACCCAGCCCCTCTCACTGGGACTTCTTCTTCCAGACCATGTCCGGCAGCCCAACATCAAGGCCTCTACTTCCCAGGAGTGCGGATGGTGCTACCTTACCCTGTCCTGCTTGGTGCCCAAAGCTGCCGGGGTCACCTACAGCTGGTCTCGAGGTGAATCTTCCAGCCCAGCCCCAGAGGACCATTCGCTCCATGAGCATCAGGCTGATCTGCAGCTGGAGATCACTAAAAGCGGCAACAACACCTTCTATCACTGCAATGTCAGCAATGCCATCAGCTGGGGCATGGCCACCATCGATGTCAAACCGCTGTGCAACTACACAGGTAAGTGCCCGCTTTGCACCAGACATACGAGGGGGGCCAGGGATGTTTAGCATCTTCCTGGGTCCTGCGGAGCTGGTTCGTGAGCCTGGCCTGAATGAAACCAGAGGATGGGGCCTAGCATCCCTGAGGATGCTCTAGCTGCTTCAACCTCCATCTTGGTCTAGCTCATCTGAGAGCCTGGCAGACTGGTGGGGCTGGGTCTCTGGCCTTGGGACCCCGTGTCTCCTCCTGTGCCTGGCAGCAGGCACAGCGCCAGGCTGTGTGGGCAGTGGTGTCTGGGGCTGGGATAGGCAATGCCTGTGTGCACAGGGATCCAGCACTGCTGCCCTCAATCCGTCTTGCTCCTTTGCTCCGGAGAGAAGTAAGGAGCTGAGGCGTCTGCGAGCCCTTCTGTCCCCCTTGCCCTTCTGAACCTCCAGGTTGTCAAGAAGTAAAAGTGGACGCTGCTCTTGCAGAGATGGTTCAGCTGCAGCCCAACACATGGCCGTCGTCCTGGGTGGCAATCGACTGGAAAGTGAAATTTGGTTCACAGACCTACTGGATCCTCAGACACGATCAGAACAGGACCTCGGTCAGTCCATTTCTGCCCTTTGCTGACAGTGTCTCTTTCCACCCTGGGAATCTCTCGCTGCAGATTAACTCAGTCATGGAGAAAGAAAGTGGCCTATACACCATGGACCTGAAGCTGGGGGATGGCTCTGGAGTCACCAATAATTTTCGGTTGTTTGTGCTTGGTGAGTTTGGGGGTGCCTCTTTCCTGTCGTGCTGACCCCTGGGGCACCCGGACCCTCTCACTGGGACTTCTTCTTCCAGACCGTGTCCAGCAGCCCAACATCAAGGCATCTACTTCCCAGAAGAGTGGACAGTGCTACCTTACCCTGTCCTGCTTGGTGCCCAAAGCTGACCGGGTCACCTACAGCTGGTCTCGAGGCGTATCTTCCAGCCCAGCCCCAGAGGACCATTCGCTCCATGAGCATCAGGCTGATCTGCAGCTGGAGATCACATCAAGCCGATCTGCAGCTGGAGATCACTAAAAGCGGCAACAACACCTTCTATCACTGCAACGTCAGCAATGCCATCAGCTGGGGCATGGCCACCATCGATGTCAAACCGCTGTGCAACTACACAGGTAATTGTCCCCTTTACACCAGACATACGAGGGGGGACAGGGACTTTTAGCATCTTCCTGGGTCCTATGGAGCTGGTTCATGAGCCTGGCCTGAATGAAACCAGAGGAAAGGGCATAGCATCCCTGAGGATGCTCTAGCTGCCCCAAACTCCATCCTGGATTGTCTCCTCTGAGAGCCTGGCAGACTGGTGGGGCTGGGTCTAGGGCCTTGGGGTCCCGAGCCTCCTCCTGCTCCTGGAAGCAGGCAGAGCCCCAGGCTGTGTGGGCAGAGGCATTCAGTTGTTTCAGATTGCCCCAGGGCAAACAGTGGGGCAACACCAGGCATTTCCCCCTGGCATTGACACACTGCCTTGCTCTAGTTCCAGCAGCCATGCCTGCCCAGGCCTCATCACTGTCCTACTGCCAGGCCAAAGGGCTCATTCTGCTGTTGGTGCTGGGGGTGCTCATCACTGGGACCGTGGCAGTGCACATCATGGCTGGCAAGCCGCCGAAACAGCACTGAGCAGGGCTGAGCCCACACCAGCTCTGCTCTGCTCTGGGAGAGGAAGATGAGGGGAGGCTGCAGCACGGAGGAGAAGCAGCCGGTGGGCTGCAGGGGTCCAACAGTGAGTGTTGGTGACCAGTTTCTAAGGCAGCACGGGCCCCCTGGAGAAGTTTCACCCCATCACTGCCTCCTCCCCTGGCCAGGGGGCCAAACGATCAAGACCCCAGTCTGCAGGGCAGTAACTGGCTGGGCTCAGGGGCACACAGACATGGAAAGGACACAAGACCGCTGTCCTCGGGGCAGCTGCAGCATCGAAACAAACTTTCCCTCCTCTGCACTGTCTGTTTCTGAACCCTCAGGGTCAATCCTCCCCCAACTACTCCCCAAGAGCGCCATGAGGTTGCACCGTGGCCCCCAGGGCTTGTGCAGCCATTAGCACTGTGGGTGCCAACATCCCTGTAAGGCAGGCTGTCCACTGGCAGGGGTAATGCCCAGCAGGCTCTCCACTGGCAGGGGTAATGCCCAAACACCCCACCCCCCCATTTTCCTTTTACAGCAAACTCAGCCCATCTCCATCAGGGGGGAGCTCCCAACAAGCCTTGCTGCCTCCACTGCACCCACCCCAGTGCCCAGCCTGACCCCTGCTCCTGCTCCTCCGCCCAGGCAGGGCACTGCTCTACTGCTGGGCCTTGGGGCTCATCCTCCTGCCACCGGCCCTGGTGCCCATGCTTTACACCAGCTTGGACCCAGGAGCAGAGACCCCAGAGGGTGCTCTGTTTGGACCCAGCCTTTGCGAGTGACTTAAGTTCAATGCTTGGCTTGAATTGTGGTTGAGACAAGCATCCAGTGAAAGGACCAGGTGGAAAATTACTGTCCCTGCCCAAAAAGCAATTGAGAAATTGACTTATTAAATTGAATAAATATATCCTAGACAAAAGAGCAAACCTACCCCGAGCTAAGAATGCAAACATCACCCGGGAATAGAGAATCCCAGTTAAAAGTAGCCGTATTTAAGGGCACGGACCCTTCTGTACCTAGTCCTGGTGATCCAGTCACCGATCCAAGATCCAGAACTCGGACGAAGGAGTCGGGAACCTTGGACAAAACATCTCAGATGGCCATCCAGTGACGTCACCTCTGTTCAGTCTTGGGGTGGGGAGCATCGTTTTTTGCTTTTGACTAACTACATTTCTAAGATTATAACTGCTGAGAATGCTTCGTTTTTCGTTGAGGGTTGTATATGAAACAATTGAATAAACTTGCTTCTAGTTTAGGAAACCGTGTATCCGTACCTGGTACAAGACCCAATACAGCGTCACTGGATGCAACAGCTCCCCCCACCCCCGTGCACTCGTGTCACCAGGGGCACTGCTGTCCCTGCATCCTGACCATTTCGGAGCGCAGAGGGACTGATGCTGTCCCCAGGAGGAGGACGGCTCCAGCCTCAAGCTCCTCCTGCCTCTGCCTGGCACTCAGACAGCAGTTGCCAGTCCTGGAGACCCCCCAGCAGAGCCCGGCCTGGTGCCAGCAGGGTGGGCACTACATCGCTGCCTGGCACAGCCCCAGGGCCCCCCGCCGGCAACCCTGCCCCTGCCTAACCCCTGTCCCCCTGC